GGAAAGAGGAAGTGAGACAGACTATGAAAAGTGAAAATTTAGGAAAGGGAGATAAAGTGTCTGTTGCAAAATACTTGGAAAAAGAACAGGAAAAGTTAAAAGGATGAAAAAACATTTAAAAATTCAGACTGATGAAAATGGCACTATGGAGAAGTTGCACAAAGGCCTAGAGCAAAAAACCATGAAGAGTGAAAAAAGGAACAATGTAATAAATTAATTATGTGTAAATTTTCCTTTAGTAACATTACACAACACAGGTTTCACAGGCAGTTTTACTGCAGGAAACACATTAAACAAATGTGGAGCCTTACGTGAGGATATCACTGCTCTGGCTCAGCTACTGTCATCTTCACATCAAAGTGAAGAACATGAACCTCTAAATGCCAAAGCATAAAAGAGCAACATCAGTTATACGGCAGTTGACACATTAGGCATTAGACTGATCAGTCACAGAAGATCTTTCCTCACTTCCTCTTCAAAAAGAGACTGGAATATCATGTTGATCTTTATTTAAAGAGCTTTGAAGTGGGGCAGATTTATCCATAAGTGAACTGGCCCTATTTAATTGGTAAAAGTTGCAGCACAGGTATCCTCAGAATGGAATTCTCTCTTCCATTTCACACCCTCGGAAAGTCAAGGCAACTCACCTCTTCAGCTTCCCCTCCATCCAAAGGAATCCATGCCAATCTGTAAAAAGCAATATCTGAGGATGTGGGCTTCCAGCTGACCCTAAAACTATCTGTTGATGCTTCATCAATTTCCAAATGCTGGGGAGCTGGAGCTCTTTCTGCAAAATATTACACAAAAGTGAAGGATGCTTCAGAAAACTGGGAAGACTAATGCTTTACTACCTAATTGCAATAAAAGATGCTTTAAAATAGGTGATTGTGGAAAGACTTAAGAAATTAACCTTATCCACACAAATGTTTTCATGATGTCAACAGATTGCTCCCATGAGTAAGGATGCAATTGGCCCCATAAGAAGGTAAAGAAGTAAAAAACTTCAATGAAAATAACAGAAAGCATTCCATACATCTGAATTCACAGCCACAGACACTTGCTGTTACTGATCTTACTTTCCAGTCATGTAAGTGTATAAATTTTTTTCTTGGAAAGCCTTCAAAAACTCAGCAATACTTACTTGTGGTAAAGCTGCCAGTAAGTGGCTCAGATTGTCCTTCATCAAACAGGGAGAAAATAGCAACAGTATACTCTGTAAGGGATGTCAAACCTTTTAAAGTATGGGTTGAAACACGACCAACTTCCACCTAGAGAAAGCATAATTAGCAATAGATATTGATCATACACTTCACATTATCACTGTCTGAAATTCTGATGGGTAATAATAATGCAGAAAGAAATCCTGTAATAGAGAAATTTTGTGAAACTGTGAACAAATATAAAATCAGTGCCATAAAAGCTGGCAAGAACAATTAAAATAGACAAACTAGAGAAAAGGGAAATTTTGTTTATGGCAAACAAGGGAAAAAGAGTATTCAGCCTTAGTAAGCCTAACTCACTAGCTAACATATCAGCACTGTGGATTCAGCAACAGAGGAAAGAACTTATGGGGCTATTGAATCATGGACAATCACGCAAAACTAAATATTACATAAGTAAATTATTACATGCAAAAGCCTAAGTCAGAACATCCTGTTATCATATTATCATTCTGTTTAGGCCAAATCCTGTTGCTAGGAATTGAGTTTTCAAAATTTAATTAAAGTGGTAAATGTTAAGAAAATGTGCAAAGCCTTTAGATAGTAATTTTGAATGAGCTTGAGTCCATGATGTAGGATACATTGAAAAACTTGTTATCTGGACTGAATCAAGATAAAATATTTCCAAACCATACATTTAGTCAGGATTCTACACCTACAAACCGCTGTCCACTTGAGTAGTTTCTTCCAGTTTTTGTGCATTAGCAATGATTCTCCTGGTATGTAAGAAGTTCAGAGTACTGTTCCCCACAATTATGATCCAGTCCAAATGTTAATTTGATACTAAGCACACACTGATTTGTGCTAAGTTTCAGAATTCCTTAGCTTGCAAAGTAGCCTCTGTTTATAAAAGTTCCCCACAATAATTACAGAAGTCTGGGGAGGTTGGAGATCGGTTAGGGAAGAGAGATGCAAATAATTTACCTCATTGGTTTCTGTGCCATCTGTTTTAACGTACATGATGCGATAGCCATTCACATTTTTGGAAGCAGGATCCCAGGTGAGTTTAGCACTATTGTGTCCAACATCAGAAAATTTCAAGTTTGCTGGTGGACTTAGAGGCACTTGAAAAGGAAAGAGGTAAAACTATGAAAGTGATTCCAGGTTTCAGCTGTGAAATCTTTCATGTCTTGAAAATAAATAGCACGTTTTCCATTAAAAAAATCTGTATCACTGATGTTGACATAAAAAGACATCAGTGGAGCTACACAAGCACACAGAGGCATATAAAATAACTTAGTTCTTTGCTGAAACAGAACTTTCAGTCTAAGTGCATCTCAACTAATAGTGAAAAAGAAATTGTGTTATTGCTCACAGCAAATACCATAGCAAGATCTAACCTACACGATACTCAATATATTTGTGTTTGTATTTGTAAAGTAACTTAATCCATCTAGATCTTTATCCTATATGAATTTGTTTTCCCTGAGTATCCCAGCAAAAACATTTCATGACAATAATATTTTGGCAAAAATCTTTCTGAGTCATAAATGTCCCTGACATAAGGATAAGTTTGTCCAAAAGCATAACTATCTCAGATCTCCAAATATGATAGGGTTGTGTTGGTTTTTTTTTAAGTCTTCTTAACCTCTCCTCTTTTCTTACACAAAGAAGCTATTTCTTAACAGTAACCCCAGTTAAAACCATATTTATATACTATATACTCTTTGGCTGTCATGAGCTGAAGGAAAATGAGGTCATGCAGGACAGAGTCCCAGATTCTATCCACTTGTCTATCACATTACAGAAAGCAATTTGTGCTGTTACTCTCAGCAGTAGGTTTGATATTAGCCCAACATCTGCTAATTTTCTCTGAATTGTGAGGCCTACCTCTATCCATTTTGTCTTCACACACACTCCTCACCAACCCATGTGGACATGATAAATATCAGCACTTGTAAAGCAGTTTCCCTCACACAAGAGCACATGGGAAAAAGCAAAATATAAAAAAAACCCCAAACCCAATGTATTATGTGGGAACTTCAAGCAGGTTATATATTGACTCAGAATCTGCAAGCAAACACTTAAGCAGTTTAGGAACAGTAAAGTCAACATGGCTATGAGGAAAGGGAGACAGGAACACATTGGAATTGTACTAGATGTGTTTGCCACACTTTCTGGCATTCAATGTATTCCTCAGAGTCTAGTTAAGGGAGTATCACGTGCTGGCTTTCCTTTCTACTTTCTGTCAGTCATGGAATGCACTTTATTTCACCATCCAGACGATACCACTAAATGCCTCAGCCTCAGCTCTTCCCTTTTGGGAACAACCTCCTGACAACATTGCTCTCAACCAGACAGGCAGTCTTGCTGCCAGGGTTATGTGACATCTGCAGTGAGTCCTGGATAAATACTGGCTCCAGAAAGAAATCCCACTGCAGAATGAGCATGCTGATCCTGTCTGGCATGGAGAAATGTTTCGCTACATTAACTGAGATGATGCAGTGTGTAGAATGATATTTTTTACTAAATACAGCATTTATCAGACACTACATACAATACTACTGAAAATTAGGCAGATCACTCTGCAGACTGGTAAATGCTCCAGGAAGAAAATACTAGGTAGAGTCTTTATTAATTGGAAGCCAGAAATAATCACAGTGAAAAAAAAAAAATAAAATATATAGCTTAAATCTGAATCCAGACAGGGAAGACATTACCATGGAACACTGACCATGTGGGACAGGTGTGCTCACCAAGAGCTTTCTTTCACCCCACACTGCCCCACTGCCTGATGAATCAAAGCCTGTTAGAAGAGATCTTATTTGAATAGTTGTAAATGGAAGGTTAGAATAAATCTTTTGTATTGCAGTGCTAAAGATCAATCAGTGTTGGCTGCAATGAGTCATCCTAAAAAATAAATGAAGGTTGCAGAGCAGCTAGACTATTTTTTTTTTTAATTCTAGTTTGGTAACAGCAGTGATGATAAGCTAACATATGTTACTAGCTTCTGTGATCAAACACTGCGGTCATGAAGCCTCAGCTTGTGCCAATGTATCTGGAATTGCATGTGATCTTCCACACAATGTGTTAGCCAGGTTTAGAGCTCTGCAGCCCCCAAGACCATATGACATGAAGAGAAATCAGGCTGGCACAATCATAACCCACATAAACTACTATATAGAATAAATGAAAACCAGATACTGGGCAGATGTTGTCCAAAAGCATGAGAAGGGTGCAGAGGCGGGGGGGTGGCATAAAGAGAGAAAGGGGCAGAGGGACAAAGAATCAAAGGTTTGATTCTCCAATAGTGAAGAATCTTCTACATTAATTTAAAGTCCACAAATGTGCCCAGGTTGCAGCAGTTGGCTATTGCTGCTTGTCTGTCTAGAACTGCCATCTGAGATATGACCCAGTTCCAACAGCATTCCTAGAGCTTCTTCCACCCTTACTGACCTTACAGGCAATTGCTCTGTCCCGTCTTTTTCTTTACATTCTCATGTCTGAAATCCTCTTACCTATTAAATGTAAGTCACTTTGACACTGACTTACTCATGCCAGGAGCACAAAACAAGAGGAAGCAATCATTGCTCTATTGTTGGGAGCAGCACAAACGTCACTGAACGCTGTCCCAGAAATACCCCAGCAGCACAATCACTTCTTTTCAATTCCTTTGTCGTCCAAAAAACTATTTAGAGAGCTGACACACAGTGCTCTGTACAGTTGACTGTACAGAAGACAGAATTTAGCTGGCAAAACTCTTGCTGCTTATTAAAACCACACCATCTATCATGACTGCACAGGCACTTTCCAACCCTTCATTTACCAGATGTTAGGCAGCAGGGCTTGGAGAGAAAACTTCTCTTTGCCTCTTTTCTGTCTGTACTACTGCTGAGCCACAGGAATGAACTTCTCTGTCTGAGCAGGCTCCTCCACACACCTGGTTCTCTGGCTACAGGAGGCTAAACACAGCAGTCTCAGTTTAGCTCCATGTGGTGACCTTCGTTCAACTTCAAGTTCAGAAAATCGTCTTTAACCAAGATCAACAGGGATATCCACAGCACCACTACTAACGAGGGAAAAGTTCACAATTCTGTCCCAAAACCAAGCTGTTCTGTAGAAACTCACATCCTCAGCCTCTATAAAGTATTCACACTGAGAATCTTAAATACAGTAAATACCTCATCCTATGGCAACCCCAGGCACAAATACAGGCTGGGAGAAGAATGGCTGGAGAGCAGTCCTGAGGAGAAGGACTTGGGGGTGGTAGTAGAGGAGAAGCTTGACATGAGCTGCCAGTGTGTGCTGGAGCCCAGAGGGCAAATTGTGTCCTGGGCTGCATCAAAAGAAGTGTGGCCAGCAGGGACAGGGAGGGGATTCTGCCCCCCTACTCTGCTCTGGTGACACCCCATCTGGAATACTCTATACAGTTCTGGTGCCCTCAGCACAAGAAGGATATAGACCTGTTGGAGAGGGTCCCAAGAAGGGCCACCAAGATGGTCAAAGGCCTGGAGCACCTCTGCTATGAAGACAGGCTGAGAGAGTTGGGGCTGTTCAGCCTAGAGAAGAGAAGGC